TTTTTCGATGAAAATTCGCAAAGACAAAGAATGAAATTCGTGCATTTCACTTGCATTACTTTTGCACAGTACTGTAATACTTGTATATAGACTACACTGTATGCATATGTTTGCTCAGCTGTTTGATGTTGTTATGAGTGCATGATTACTTACGAACTTCATGAAGCTCAGTTGTAACTGGTATCAATGGAAGTTCCCGCCATTGTAATGCTGTAATATCTTCACAAGCTCCAGGCACTTCTACAGCAATAATAGATGACAGCTTTGCAAGAAATTCTATGGCACTGTGACATTCTGTATGCAGGTCTTCTGCTGCAGTTTTGTCATCAGATGAGTTACGTACTAAGCTGTGGGCAAGATCTGTTGCCATCGGCAACAGTGTTGGACCACTTTCAGGAGAAACCCTCATTACATGTTCCAAAATCCTCTGAACTCTGCATGTACAAACAAAATATAAATTAACAAACTGATTAAAGAGAATGTATTGATTGTACCTCAACTGGAGAATGAATAAGAGAGTTTATGTGAGTACTTCTTTAAAAAATCCATAATATTTATTGAACATGTACATGTTTGTCACTTGACTATTAACTACAATCAATTTCCTATTTTGAGACATCTCTTCAGTTACAAATAATAAACAGAAAAGAGAGGAGAGACCATACTTAGCTTCTTTACTAATTTTTTAAACAAAAATGAAGTTCCAAATAGGGATCGAATTAGGAAGAGAAATGTTGATATACTTATTCATAGCTAGTATTGTAACTTAGGCCCAGTTCAGACGCCGAACTTTTCATAAGCTGAACCTAATACGTTGAATTAACTACATGAACAGTTCGGCGTCTGAATCAGTTAAGAGCGGCTATTTGAATTTGGAATGGCTCGGCCGTTCTTCCTGCCTAGCTCAGCCAGGAATTTCGGCTTTGGAACAGCTTTGATTTAGACGTGAAACTTTTCATGTGCCGAACCTAATGCATACACCTTGCCTGAAAACCGCTATGTTTCGATGTGTTTTGGTTCAAACTAAATTAAGTTCAGTGAATTAAGTTTGACGTCTGAATCAAGAGGCGTACTTTTGATAATTTGGGTCGGTCCAAATTTGAATTAAGTTCGGCTCATGAAAAGTTCGGCATCAGAACTGGGCCTTACTTGTTCAATCATTACCTGTTGTTATTCTCCTTTTTCATGCTCTGAATAAAGCTAGGAAGAACTGATTTAAAGAACACACTTCTCTCCAGTCCTTTCACTATTACTCTGGCAGTGTGTGACATTTGCTTCTGAGTATTGGAGCATATCCTGTCTGTAATATCTAAAATCTGTGGGGCCATCTTGTCATCACCTTTTTTAAGAATGTAATCCCAAGATGCTTTACATCTGCATACAGGAAGAATGTGTGCTTTGTTCAATATCACATGTATATGCACAGTAACTTAACTATAGATAAATTGATAAAATGACCACCTTAAATCTGAGCAAGAAAAGTGGGAGTGTTCAGCACCAGAAAATAA